TAGAAATCGATCAAAGTTCTCGGATCGAGAACTGTATAGCCATAAAATTACACTTTTCCGTAAAAGCTGCAAGTTGATTGGCTACACAGTTCTCGGTCCAAGAACTTGGACCGATTTCTAGTCTCGTGAACACAAGACTTTAAGCCCGTATCAGACTAAAGATTGAGATTGAGATTGAATTGGGATTTAACCAATTAGAAGAAAGAAAACCAATCTCAAATTTAGTGAACTTTGTTTTAATTGGTCAAATTCCATTACAATCTCAATCTCAATCTTTAGTCTGATACGGGCTTTAGTAAAGGGTCTCTACTTATCGCCAGTGAGAAAATGTCCACGTGTTAACCGTGTAATGCGCGTATTTCACACCACAATATTTTCGTCTGAAATTATCTGCACTACTCGTTTTTTAAGAACTCTAACCATAAACAAATTGAATCAAATCTAACTTGACAGTTAACGCGTATATGCGCGGACACTTCCTCATTAATATGGCGATTTTCAATTGGATACACAAATGTAAGTCGCAAAATACAATAGATGTAGTAAGGCTTAAGCCGTAAGAAATTGACCAATCGTAATCTATTATTCTCTTCAAATTCAACTGCAATTGGTCCATTTCTTGCAGCTTAAGGCTTACTACATCTATTGGCTGTGTTTCGCAAAGCGCATCATGCGCAAGATTTATCTTTTTATCTTTGTTTAACATTTGATGAACAACAAGGACACCATGATATATCATGCGAATGATGCGCTTTGCGGAACGCACCCATTGTGTTTCGGGACTAACGTATATTAGCAATTATATATTTATGCTCAGGATTCTCTGCTTTAGAACACTCTTTTAGGGATATTTTTGCGAAGTTAAGTTACTGATACAGTATAACTATACTAACAAAGAACAAGATGGTGGGGACACACTGCGCACAACTGCCATTTGCAGGACCATGCCTAATTCACGGCGGAGGTTCGCGTCACGATCGATCCGCTTGTCGTCGCTCGAATAAGGGATAACACAAAGTGGAACGAGGAACGCCGGCTAACCTTGAAAGAAACGAAGTCTATTTTTAATTACAGGTTCGTTCCTTCGTTCGTCTTTACGTCACGACGGAGGAGCGCCGGATCGATAATACACGATCGCGGGCGTGCATGCGTTTCCCGTGCTCCTCAGCTCTGCGCTCTCTGCGGAAGGAAAACAAGACGCGCTGCACGCCGCGCCTTCGAGAGAAACAAACGCGAGACAATTGGCACACCAGGATTGTGCAAGACGCGAGCGAAAGCTTGGAGCACGATATTAAACAAAATTACGTTACACACAAATTTCAATTGTTTGTATAAATTGAAGAAAACTGCATTTTCATTCAACGTCAATTCTTTCTTCCTCGTCTATGAATTTCGCCTCGACCGCACGTACCGTTGCATTGGTCAATTAGACGCCATAACTGTTCGGATCTTTGCATGTGTATTCGGCTTTTATCTTGCAATTAGATAAATAATACTATAAACACTCTGATTTCGTACAGATCCTGCATCGTTCATATAGCGATACTGCCCGTACATTGTGTCATATCTCTCATTTTTCTCTCATAAAAGACGAAGAAGAATATATGAGGGCACGAGGACGATGGGATTTTAATGGAATACAATATTAGGGAACGATCCGTCTTTATTTTCACAAAGCATGAATTAAAATATTAACGAACATTCGACGCGCACGGTTCCGCCTGTCGGAGGCATTCCGACGAGTCGATGATTGCTCATCAACCGGCGACTCGCGAAGATAAACAAAAGAGAAAACGGCGATTAGCGTAGGCCGTGTCGTTTCTCGAGCGGGGAATAAATGCGGCAACGTCGAACGAGCGTTGAAAAAAATATTCAAGTTGGAGTTATGATGGAATTTTCACTTCCTGCACCGTCGTGAGACGTCGTCCGCGAGGCGAGGAGAGCAGCAACACCCCCGCGAGTGCAATGCTCGACAATAAATTCGACTCTCTATATTGATTCGAGGGCTGAAATTATACTTCATCCCGTGTACAGTATATCGACGTGGAAGCTCAAGTCGTCGAAAACACAGTCGGGAGAATCGGGAGAGGTCAATGTCCCCTCGGCGCTTACAACCGGCTCGTAACTATTCGACGTTCGTCGTGCATATGCGATTTTTTTCCTTTGCATAATCCCACAGCGCGCACACACACACACACATACACACGCGCGCTCACGTACACGTATATATGTATCGATCCACGCGACGCCAGGTCGTTATTAATATTAATAATGCGCCCATCCCGCGCGCGATTCTCTCGATTTTCATCAACAAAATTTTTATACGTGGGTATAGCCATTCAGCCGCGGGAGGGAGATGCAAGATCATCGTCCTCCGACATCCGAAATGTACGGGACGCGGATATTTAATAAAAAGCTGCCATTAACCGTTCGCGCCAAATTGCCTCGCCGATCGCGCGAGCCCGCGCGCGCGCGAAATTCTCGACGCGAGAAATCCCGCGCTTCTCGATGCGACGTCGAAGCGAGGAAGAAAGAGAAAAAAAAAAAGGAAGGGAGGCGAGAAAGCCACCGCGACTCGGGGCGCATCGCGTCGCGTCACGAGGAGCCCACGGCGCCGCGCGCGGAACGAACGGCGATTTTTTTCGATGCTACCACCGCCACCGCCGCCGCCGCCAGCCGCCACCGCCGCTTGGCCGCCGCGCGCGGGGCGATCTTTTGGCGGGAATTCGTTGACGCTTCCAGGGGCCGGGGTCGGCGGGGAGGGGGGAAAGAGAGAGAGAGAGAGGCCTCCGTTGGCTGGCGGCTCGCGAAACACGGCTCGACGAATCGCGTCGCAGTGTATCCGGTATCGTCGTCGGTCAGTTGCGGCTTGGTGTTCTCCTGGTAAGTTCGCCTCGCATATATACGTGCTGGGTGCGAGTGTATGTGTGTGTGTGTGTGTGTGATTCTGTACGCCTGAATAGTCGTTACATACGTCGACGACGGCTCCGAGACCCGACGACTCGCGGGTACTCCGACCGCTCCCCCGTTTGTTTCGCCGATCGGCGGATCGGAGCGCGTACCGCCGCCGGCCGGCTCGCCGGCCACCGAGGGCGAACGCGGGAGAAGAGAGTGGAGGTTGCGTTTAGCGGCGGGGCGGTTGCGGAGTGCGTAGTACGAGTGTGTGTGTGTGGTAAGTGAACGACGAGCGCGCGCGCGCGCTATATGCCCGCCTTCTGGTGTCTGTGTGTGTAGAGAGTGCGCGGGCACAGCGGCGCCCGTTAATATACGGCGATACGGCGGCGAAGCGAACGAGAGTCGGGAAGCGTGCCGAGTGCACACACGACGCGGGCAAACGCGAGTGATCGAGCCTGCCGAGCCGAGTCGAGTCGAGCCGAGCAAGCGGAGCCGAGCCTGCCGGAGCGAACGAGCGTGCGAGCGCGGGTCCGGCGAGAGTGCGTTTGTCGGAGAGCCGCACGGCGTCTCGCGATACGATACGATACGATATATATACGATTATACGACGCGACGCGACGCGACGTGACCGCGAGACACCACCGACCGCCGCCGCCGCCACGCCACGACGAACGCCCGCGCTGCCGACCGGCGACGGAAAAGGAGCGCGCGCGATATCGCCCTTTGTTCTCCACTCCGGAGTTTTGGAGTGCGTGGCTCCGAGAGAGACGTACGTGACGCGATAAAATTTTCGTCTGAAGCGGTGAGGTGAGTGCTGGAGTGCCGTGAGTGGCGTGAGTTCGGGCGTGCGTGCGTGCGTGCCCGTGCCCCCGCGTGCCGTGCGCGCGCGTTGAGTAAAAAAACAACGGGGGCCGTGTCTCGGCGGCCTCCGCGCGAGAGTCTACGCGCTCTTTTTCCCTCCGTATACGCCGCGCTCTCGACCGCCGCGGCCGCCGCCGGAGAACGGCGGAGGATGGATACTATTAATTTTATTTCGGCGGCAAGCGCGCGCGGCCGCGCCACGTAAGCGCGCCGGACAATTCGGCGGGCGCACGGCGGATTTTTCGGCGCGCGCCCCGTCGCCGTGCCGCCGTTACTTGCAGAGATTATCAGCGGCGGCGGCCCACGACGCGGCGTCTACCCGGTCGGGCGCGGGTAGACGCCGCGGAGGCACACACAACTCGCAGACGCCATGATTCGCGCCTCTCTCTCACTCATGGCGTCCCCCCCGGGTCGGGTGGTCGACGCGACGCGGCGCGGCGGGCCGTCCCGCCGTCCGTACGGAGTACACATCCCACAGCCGGGCTGTCCAGCTTCTCGTGAAACCGCGAACTCGCGGCCGCTGCGAAAAATTTGGGAGAGAAAAACCGGGAACGCCGCCTCCTTCCGCCGCCCGCCCCCCCCCCACTCGCCCCCCGGAGAGTCGAACCGGCGCGTCCCTGTCGCGACTCGACGCGATCCGTTTGCAAATTTTGAAAATGGCGCGGAACTCTCGCGAGAGCGAAGGAGACAGACGCCGTTTATCCTGAGACGAAATTCAACGACGTAGTTTCTCCGGTAATGAAGAAAACGACTCGCGCGCGCGCGCGCGGAAAATTTCGCCCGACGGTCGACGGGTAATAAATTTATTGGAGAATGAATTATTTCGATTCGCGCCGAGTCGCGCGCGCCATATCGCGCCGCGCCGAGGAGGCGGTTTTACGACGCAAATTGCACCGTGTTCCACGCCGCGTATCCTCTTCCCGTAAACTTTGCGAGGCGCGTAATTGATAGTACCGATTTTCGCGGCGCGTTTGCGCACTCGGTCCTGTCCTCCTGTGTGTGTCTCTCTCTCTCTCTCTCTCTCTCCTTCTCTCCCTCTCTCTTTCTCGCGCCGCGATCCCCGATACTCCTTCAAGCGCGCGAGAGACAACGGCCGAGAGGAAAATATCGGAAGATCGATAGTCACGCTTGCTTTTGTATTTTTACCTTTTTTTTTCTCCTGAGATTCGAGAACCTCATTGTATCTGTCTCTCTTCAATAACAGTACGATATGCTCGTTTTTATCGGTTTTATCGGTTCTCACATAAAGTTACTGCATCTTTACGAAAAGCTATGCTTTTTTTTCACATTTTACATGTTCTGCACTGTAGACGCATATATATTGATATATACAATATATTTGTTTTTCGATATTTTTATTTATTTTTTTTTTTACGGCACTAAGAGATTTTGCGAGTTAAAGGATTGTCTGCGAATGAGGGACATACACACAAGGGATTCACTCGATGGCGAAAGTACTTATTTTCACGCTAAATCGCACATCGTGTACACGTGTATTATTACACAGCGACTCAGAATTCTTCGTATTAGCGGGCGCTCTTCGCGGCTCATCTTATCGGAGACGAGACGATCTGAAAAAAAGAGACAAGGGCGATTGAGAGGGCTAATCGATGTTGTTCTTGCTTATTTTTGTTACAGTGAAACAGGACAATAAATATGTCAGACGACAATTCTCCCGTGGTGGAAGAGCAAAAAAAGAAGAGGGGCAGGCCGGCCAAGGCGGACAAGAACGCTGTTAAGGAGCCGAAAAAGAGGGGTAGGCCCGCCGCGGAAAAGAATAACGCGGTACGCCCCGCGAAATCTGACAACGAGGATGACGCACCACCTGGACCTGTTAAAAAGGGAAGGGGTAGACCTAAGGGCTCCCACAAGAAGAAGGTAGGAATTCATTCCCACAAAAACTGGGAAAGGGAAAATCTTCGCCAAGCTGCAAACCATTATATCACTACCTATACAATTAATTTTAAGTAGTTAACAAATCCATTCTCACGCGGAAATTGTTGAACTTACAGCAAGGACCACCAAAAGGCACAACTACTTCGTCACGTGGTCGTGGTAGACCGAAAAAGACAGAAGAGAAACCTGAGCTCACCGGCGAGGATGAGGACGAGCAAGAGGAGGAGGAGGAGGAGGAGGAAAATTGAATGCATTGAGATGCAATAGAGGAGGACGAAACTAACACAGCTGACTTATCCTTCGAAGACCTTTAAAATAGAAAATATCGTAATGAATTCAATCATTTTTCCAAGCTTTACTTTTCGTTTAGTTTTATCCGATTTAACGATTTCTCGAGCGAGCGTCGACGCGCGATGGACGATTGTCCCTTACAGATTACTCGAGTTTCCTCGCGAACTCGAGCAATTTCGTTGCACATTGTCACACGCTGACAAATTTCACAAACGAAAGACACGTTGGATACAAAAGTTGTGTTATAAAAATTTATTAAGTTCTTTATATTTACTTGACATCACTACTATTAAATGATAAAAAAAAATGAAAATACTTTTTAAGTGCTAAGATTTACGTGTAACCTTCTTTAACAGTAAAAGACTGGACTAAGATGCAGATCTCGAAACACTTTTTTTAATTTGCCCGAGAAGTGAGGTTTGATAAACTTTTTTTTAATTGAAGAAAACTCACGCAGTAGAGTATTGTGTCACATGTTTGCTACCTCCTTTTCTCCTTCATATACATATTACACGATTCATGAAGCCAAAAAAAAAATGACTCCATACCGACTCTAATATTGTAAGAGATAGAGAAAGGTAAACGAAAAAAAAAACTTCTTGTATGTAACATATGCAGGGATTATTCTTTTCTAATTAACACTAATAAGTACATTTTCTTAATGATTGTATATTACTGTCGTTTTTGAGGCAAGCATATGTGTGAATGTCAAATTTGTATTAAAGTAAATAAAAACTCAAAGTACTCTTATTAATTTTGCGTTTATATCTTCCTCCACAAGACTGAGAATTCTAATAGCGAAGTCGGTTGGTGCGCACTCGGTGCACATTAAAATCGTACACAAATCGATGCATACAACATGTAAAAACGTATTTAATATAAATACAGAAACGGATTAAACGTTAAACCGCGAAATTTTTATTATTACTATTTGCTAAGATGTGTTAGATATTTTATCATTCCAGACATTTTATTTTTACATCGGAATTAAAACGCAGTGTACACCGGCACTAATATGCGTCCAACGAATTCACTAAGAGTGAAAATTTTTCATTTTATCTGTAAAACTGTATCGGTACTTCATATAAGCGATAGCGTAACTTAATTTATTTCGTTATTTAATAGGAAAATCGATTTTATTCAAGGAAAAAGAATGGGTAAACGAAATAATAAAATAATTATTTCGAAGGAAAAAAATCTTTATGTGAAAAAGAGAGAATGAGATGTGGGAAGAGTATGAATTAAAATGTATCACACAAATAATTGAAGTGAAAAATTTCATATTTATATTTTCTATTATGAAATTAGTTGCGTAAAAGTTTATATACATAATTGTCTAATATTTGAAAACTTGCATTTGTATAATATAAAATTTTCATAAAACGATTAAAAATTCGATTTGATGTATAATTGGTGTATAATTTGACATTACGCTATAAAAAGTAGCTAAAGAAAATTGGAATTATTAAATATATTTCTAATAAATATATACTATTTTCCTTTTATAAAATTCTTTGGTCTTTAAGAATTTGTATAAGAAAAAATATAGCTCTCAGCTAAAAATCGTAAATTCCAGTATAGCTTAGAAGAACGTCGTGTGTATAAGAATTACAATAAAAAATGCATTTATCCTACAATAGTTGTAGCTTAATGAGAAGAAGAAAAAAATGATATAAATGCCATGCGAAAATGTGCTATTAATGACCATCGAATAGCTCTGCATTTTCTTCAGTATCCATGGATTGGTATCCTTGCTGTAAAATCAATCGATTCTTATTTTCAAAGCACTCGCGCGAATCGCAAGCGAAAAGCAATCTTACACACTCGTCTCTGATGCGTATTGTAGCACTCGTCCAGCAGCTCGGTCTCCCAGTCATCCTCCTCCTCTTCTCCAGGATCAAAGTTGTACATTGGCATGAGCCTATGCCTCAAACGCTCCAACTTGCGCTTTCTCGAAATGATCAGCACCTTTAAAGACAAAATTAGAGAAATTGAAGATCGAGAAATCGTATTTATACCTAACAAGAAAAGCAGGATATAAAGTTTTGCTGAAAAAGAAAAAAAAACATTTGTCAAGATTGTACGATCTGTATCTTGCATTTATCTGCAATTCTCGTGAAACAATAAAATCATATGCGTTATCAAATCACACATCGCGTTAATACTTGCGTAGCGCCGTATTTGAAAATAAAAATGGGGGCGGAGGGGGGGGGTAGAGCGGGAGGGAGAAAACGTCACAAGGTAATGACAAAAGTGATATCGCTACCCATACCACAGCTGATAGTATAATAACAGAGACCACCACACCGAGTGGCACAAAAATATATTCTACTCCTTCCGGCGGTCCAAATTCATCGAAGGACTCGGTTGTCGACGCGTATATCGTGGTGCTTCTCGCAGTTGTGTTAAACGGTATCGCCGTAGGGTCGGACAGCGAGGTCACGGCGGTTCTGGACAAGTTCCACAATCGTTGATTAGTCTCGCTGTCCTGTGGCAGCTCCGCGTACGCCGTCGTGGAGACGTTGTCGTTGTTGTAGATTGTTATACCTGGCATGCTTGCGGGGATTGTCGTGAGATCGTTCACCAGTACAGTGTACAAAATGGACTCGGTGACGTCCGTCGCGTTGTACTCTCTCGTGTCATTTGCATCATTGCTCTCGTGCATCTTATTGTAGGGAGAAAGCTCGGTTAAATTGCTGTTAAGCCATCGGTTAGTCGCGCCTAGCTTTTTTACTGAAGCTCTCCACGCGGGTGTGGCACGTATAATTTATCTTAGTATCTTACGTCAAGCGTTAATAAAATTAGTAAGTTTCTTCTCTTTTTAGTAAATATATAGGCATGCATAGAGTTAAGCGAGATACGTCCGCTCTCTCTCTCTCTCTCTCTCTCTCTCTCTCTTTCTTTCTCTCTCTCTCTCTCTCTTACGTTACTACGTTTCGGGCTTGGTGTTTTGTATCCTTGAACTGCATCCAGCTAGACCCATAGTCTGGATTTTGTGGGAGATTGTATGGATATCACAAGTCGAGCTGCCTCCGTTAAATGTATCCCTCTTCCTTCGCGCTCTGTCAACAAACACGCGCGCCTTTCCCCGCGTGCGCCACACGACAGCTACTACGTGGTATCATGTGCCCGTCGTTGGACACCCCATCGTTCTCGGATAATCGGTTACGCACGTGTCGACGAGGTGAACGCCGACGTCATCGTCTCACGTCGGCCTTATCAATTATTCAACGACAGACAGATAATCCCCGCTTTTATTATCGTTAGACGGCGTCGAGCGAGATCTTGCGCACTCTCTCTCTCTGCTGCAGGTATTCCCCGCGGATTCTCGGAGGCATCAGACAGGCTCCATCGTGTGTCGCGTCGGTTGGATCCCGACGGTGATCCTCTCCGAGGTTGGTCCACTACCGCCTTGGTCGCATCGCTGACGGCTGACGGCGCTGACGCCCGAAGACGCTGGTTCTTCTGTTGACCGTGTTGACGTTTCCCCCGTTGGGATCTATTCTCTCTCTCTCTCTCTCTCTCTCTCTCTAGTCTCTCTCTCCCCCTCCCACAACGAGGCGCGTCTTAGCCAGTCTTAACTCGACATTTCGACGATACTTTGCACCTTTAATGTTAATACTCGTTACGAGTGACATACGAGTCATTTACGAGTCCTCGACAATTTGCGCATAATACGAAAACAGCCGCAGCAGACGACACGAGCCGCGGACGCAAGCGCGCGCGAAGCTTCTCCATGGAAACTCGGAAATCCAGGAGATCCTAAAGCTCGTACATAAGTGTCTTCAGTTGCGCGCACTGCGTATTTGGCGTTATTCCAATAAGGCAGAGAGAAGCATATCTATATTCTCTGCTTTAAGCTGCCTTTTCCACAGCCATTGATTTTACTGCTTATATATACTGTTCCATGTGCCAGCTGGCACTGACTGACACCTAAATACAGCAACAGCTGAATAAACGGGATGATGCGATTAATGGGGCGAATCGAGAAAGAGTTTGCGAATCACTGCCTCTGAAAGTTTATCCCTCTACCCGGAACACTCCTGGATACCCTGGTTATATGGAACACCCCGTCACAATAACCGCCGCTATTCCAGAAAAACACGAGTTTCATTAGGTTTTTGAGGGGCTGTCGCACTTTTCAATCAACTTTTGGTCTTTGATCATTTGGAACGGGATAAATTCAGAACACATCAATTTGAGTAAAGACCTCGACCAATCATGATGACGCGATATTCCGGGCAGAGGGTTAACCTCGACCTCAACCTTCCCGCGAATTGTTCGAAGGGTTAGGTTCCCACTTGGACGACTGCACTGAAATCCTCTATCTCGCTCTCGCCAAACTCGAAATGTATATCCTGTTTCATTTTAAGTGTACACTAGTTCAGCTGCGAAGTGCAGACCTCGAGAAGCAGACGACGTAGACTCGTGCACGGCCGCGTGATATATGCACGTGTCTCCTCGCCGGTCTGCTCCTGCAACGTTTGCTCGCACACATGGCTTCAACGCGAATGGTACAGATCTCGATGGACACGCAAAATCACACTCAGCATCCGACAATAGCTCGACAGTAATTGCCGGTGCCGACCGTCTACGATCGTGCGGATATTTTTTACGCCGAAAAAATCGGGGAAGGGCCACACGACACGAGAGAGGTAGTCTTTTGATTAGAGGCGAGCGACTTTTCCGCTCATCAGCTCGATGACGTTTCTCGAAATCCCCTCATCAATCGGGCCCAACGTCGACGAAGCGGAGCGTAACGCGGCGAGGAGATGCTTCACGAGCGAGAGGGGTCCGCGGCGAGTCTCTCGAAGGGAGATGTCCTGCTCACATCGTTTGTCGTAAGTGTCGTTTCGTCCACGATTGTCGGCTAGTTAAACTTATTATTATACGTGTTTTTTTAATATTTTAAATATATTTTTCTGTAGCAAGACTCCTACAATATTTTTAAGTGTCATCTAGCTATACTATTTTCTGTTTTTATTTTTTCCGATGTATGTCTTTCAATCATTTTTTTTTGTAATTTTTGAACAGTTGACCTACTTATTGTATGATCGTTTATCATGAGTGTCGTTGCGCGTTCACATTCAATTACGACCGGCTAATTATAGCACGATGTTTCACTTCCTCATTGTTAATCACACATTGATTACTTTATCAGACATAAACCTCGTCGATTAATCCTGCGCATCTACCATATATTGCAAATATGGATTTTCATATGAATCAGGGCACAAAATTGGCCTTTTCTTATGTACTTATAAATAAATTCTACGTCAATAGATTTTATTTGTTATTAACACTTTGACTATTGACTGATTTCGGTATTAAGCAATCAATAAATGTAATATTATTTTATACTATCTTAATATTTTATATTTCAATGTGTTATTATAATTCATATTGTTTCTTTTTTTATTGTCCTAAATATTTAACATAAAATAATTTTTATTAAATATAATCGAGTAATTGAAACTTTCACAAATAGATAACAGGATCTTCATAGAAATTCACTCATCACTTAAATATGAGTGACGTTGCAAAGAATTAAAATGTCATTAACAGATTATTTATTATTAAAACGGTCGTCATCAATTGATTATTAATTATTAAAATTTTGACATTGACATGATTTCATTCAAAAATAATCGCTATTTCACGTCAGTCAGGTGCTCTTGCAGGGATGGTTTGTGACGTGACACTTTTCCCATTGGACACCCTGAAAACGCGCTTGCAGAGCCAACATGGGTTCTTCCAATCCGGCGGTTTCAGGCAGCTGTACAAGGGCATAGGCCCTGTAGTACTGGGTTCAGCTCCGTCAGGTACAATTTAGTACATTCGATACAAAATACAGAGTCCATACCAAGAGAGAGCATTCTTCCTCTAATATCAATAAAAACATTCTTATTACAGCTGCTATATTTTTTATCACTTACGAAGGAATAAAACAGTATTCGCAGCCGTATGTACCAAATCAGTATCACTCCATTATACACATGGTCGCAGCGTCGTCTTCTGAAATAGTAATTGCTAATTGCGTTCAATAATGTTCATATAATATAGGGTGCGGTCCACTTGACGCTACAAATGTTCGAAGCATTTGATTGACCAATCAAAAGAAAGAATTTTTACTAATTAACCGAAAATTAATCGAAAAATGCTCCGAAGCATTTGCAGCATCAAGCGGACCGCAGCCACAGTCGAATATTTCAAACTTTTGTATTGGCACACAATAATTTATATATGTTACCGTCAAAACCCGTAATCGTTAAAACTCGATTTCACTAGTTAAAACTAGTTTAAATTTAGTTGAAACGAGATCTATAATTGTACTGGCTACATGTTTTCTATTTTACGTCTAATAAACTATTTTAGTTTTAATTAATAAATTCGGGTTTTAATGGGATTATGAGTTTTGACGGTAATACATACAAATATTTTATAAATTGTAAAATACTGAAAATATATTACACAATGTATTAAAATTTGCTCGACTTGACGTGTAGACTGCTTGCTTGATTCGGGTGCCAGTCGAGGTAATTAAACAGAGGAAACAGGCGCTTTTGTCCGACCCGCATCGGCTGAGATTAAGAACATTGTACCGCGGTTATGGAAGCACCGTCCTTCGGGATCTGCCGTTCGGCGGGATCCAGATGCCGTTGTGGGAGTACTTCAAGCTTTGTTGGAACCTACAAGTACAGCGGGAATGCACGCCCCTGGAAGGTGCCGCTTGTGGAGCCACGTCAGGTAATGACTCAAAACTTCATATTTAATGAAGTAAGTTTTAACAAAATTCGAATCGTTACTTATACCGAGGCTTTTGACCTTTTTCGATTTCTCAGTTGCTATATCAGCCGCCGTAACGACACCGCTAGACGTTGCAAAGACCAGGATTATGTTGTCCAGCACGTCGGCGGAAAAGGAGGAAGTTAAGATATCGACAATGTTGAAAGAGGTTCACAGAGTCCACGGTATTAAAGGGTGAGAAATTGAGGACCGTGTAAAAATACATATTTGTCAATCGAAATCTGTTTTCCGATGTTTTAAGGAATTATACTTGTAGGTTGTTCGCTGGTTTTCTCCCGAGAGTAACTGGTTTTACTATTGGCGGCTTTATATTTTTTGGTGTTTACGAGCAAGCCAGAGAACTTTGTATAGTCTACTTTTCGTAGTTCCTGATAAATAAATTAGAAAAATTTAAATTAATCATTCACGTGAATATGTTCTAATTGAATTTTCTAACTCATTGTTAGACTCAATGTCCTATTGGAGTACTTAAAGGTAATTAATAAAATTGATGGACATTAAAGATTTTTTTATTTATTTATTGCTAGTACTTTAACAAAATTAAAACTTAAAAAAATCATGTTTATTTATTTTCAACCTGTCAGGGGATTTCGGAAACGGTAAAATGATTTCTGAAATTTTTATATAATAATAATAAGTACATACAAGGTATATAAGTTCTAGAAAATTTATGAAAAAATGTGGAAAAAAAAAATTATATTCAAGAACATGATTCGCTGAATCTTATCACAATTGTGACTCATAACCATATTTGAATGTGATTATGAACGAATATCATTTTAATACAAAAAGTCAACTTTAACGAGTTAACTAAATGATTAAGAGGCATATATTTAAAAATATTTTTCAATTGTACATTGCGTAATTTTTTAATTGTACAAAATCGTATGTGCATGCGTCCTATACACTTTTTAAAAAATTTGCTGATAGCTCTAACTACTTTTTGCGAAACTGCATTATACTATGCCAGCAACATTGCGTGTATAAAATTCTAAACGCCCTTGCTGAGCAAAAACAATATCACATTGGTCGTTAACAATATTTACACATTACACATTAGAATCTATTTTATTACGTTCATCATAATATCTGGGATAAATTATTTGGTATAAAAATAAGCATAAAAGAATACAATGAACACCAATACTGACTTTTCGTTAGGTCGCGCAACAATACCTTTCCCCTTTCTCGGTTTTTCTGCTTAGAACAATTGCTTCCTCTACCTTCTGCATATTTTCCGGATTGGACGCGAAATCCTCTATAATTTCGTCGAACAGCTCGACTGTAAACAAGAGATGCAATAAATACATTTTTGCAAATAAGATAAGCGTAACGATTGAGACACTTCCTGAATTTCCGTACCTACGTTCTCTCCCGTTTTACTAGACGTTACGAAAAGTTTGGTCTGCGTACCGCTCGCGTACCTTTCTACAGCACCCAGCATGTCCGGATCGTCCGGCGCGACACCCTGGTCGCACAGATCCTTCTTGGTGCCGCAAAGGTACACTTTGCAGTTCTCCTCGATGCTCCTTAGCTCTCTCACCCAGTGCCTCGCTCTTTGGAACGTGCTCGACTTCGTGATGTCGTAGCACACTATGGCAGCCTTAGCCCCACGATAGTACGTTCTCGTCATTGCGTCGTACCTAGTAATTATAGTGATAACAGCAGCGGGTTATCGGCAGCTCGTATATCTTTTTTCAGCGTTTCGAAATTTCCAAATAAGGCAGATCCATGACGGGTAGCGATCATCGTATATATATATACTCACTTCTCACTGCCCGCGGTGTCCCATATTCCCATAATAAGCGTCACATCGTTCACTTGTACTCGCTTCGACGCAAACACAGTGCCTATTGTCTGCGGCATAATTTCAACTGCATTAATTGGTATACGAGGCCCTCTCCCATTTTCCGTTTTAGACGATTCTCAGTGCAAACTTTAACAACGTTACTTTATAATTTTTTTTTCTTTCCACAATGTCGCGGACTAAGAAAAACAAGATGTACAATCATGTGTTAGTGCTCGCAAATTTACCAGGCCCGTTCATTTTGGCTGCGCTTTTTTTCACACAAAAAAAATACCCGTTCGCAATTTGCTTTTCTTGCTCCCCCTTCGCTTTGAATCACGGCCTATATCGGCATTGAAAAATATCGTCTATCAATGTAGACTGTAATTTTAATCTTGGTTTAGCTTAGTTTCTCCAGTTCTAAGAATTAGATAACAGAGATAAACAGTAAGTTAAACAGAGATTAAAGTTAACCTACATTGAATATTATTCATTGATCAAGAAATATCTACTTTCCTATCAATGTAGACTGTAACTTTAGTCTTGGTTTAAGTTTCTCCAGTTCTAAGAATTAGAATTTAGATAGACAGTAGAGATAAACAGTAAGTTAAACATAGATTATAAAGTTAGCCTACATTGGACATTATTCGTGCGAATTGAACTTGAAATAAAATTTTTTAATTACAAATTGCGACATATATTCTTCCGATGTACGTCGATAAAAGAAACAGCGTCGATAAAATCACAACTGGAGACGCCCACAAATGTAATTGTATATATACAATACTTCGCTCGCATTATCACCATCGATATACTTATATTTCAACGCAGGAAATTTAAACCGATGAGATTCAGCCAAAAGGAACGGTCCTGCTGTCGGGGAGGATTCTAAGAATTCTAAGGAAAACTACGATTTTACCTTTTTTCTTTACTCCTTAACAATTTCCTTTATTGAATCGTCTTTTTCATAGCAGCATGATGTACTACTTGGGAAGTATTAACGCTGTCAGGCGTGCCCTTTGCGTGTCTTTGCAATTCTTTCCGTGAAAATAAACAAATTAATAAATAAAATAATCGGGCTCTATTGATCGCGCACAAGTGCGTGAAAAAGATGCTCCCTTCTTAAGTAAATATTTTGGGAAAAGCACAAGGCACGCGAAGGCGTCGGACAGCGTAGATACCCCCCCCGTACATACGCACGTATAATAACGTAATCCAAGTGAATACTTACATTCTGATAGGGCCTATTGCAGTTAAACGAATCGTGTACATATCGCTCCATAAGACTGGTCTTTCCCACCATCGCGTTGCCCAGTAACACGACTTTCAAATCCACGCGACTCATGCTTGAATCGGAGCTTTGTCCTCAGTGTATCATGTATGTGCAGGTTATGGCAACAAAAAGTCTACCCACACTGCCGTTCCGAAACGCACTGAACGAATCCGCTGATTCGTTGCACCTGACTTCAGGCGCGCGAACGGCGAACTTTGCTTCTCTCTCTCTCTCTCTCGCTCCTTTGCGTGTAAAAAAGAAGGGAATATTCCTTGTATTTAAATGTTTTGTTAAGTATATACCGTGTGCAAAATGTGCCGTCTCACGGTCAATTAGATAATGAATATTATTATACTTTTAATACATCACAACAAATGTAAGATAAATAAATAAATGTTGCCAGTCTTAATATATATGTCATCAACATAAATATGTTATAAGAAAAATATAGCTATATAGAGTATCTCATTTTGAATAATTAGTACATTTAAATATTTAAAAACAGAACACATTTGGGAAAAAGTGTATGAAAGTTGAGATTGTAAAGACGATAAGTTTAATTTTAACTCTTTTTCCAAAGCTTCGTTATAAGATTAACTTGAATTTTTCATTGGCACTATGTACATATATTTTTTTGAAACACACAGTGTACATAATATAATACATAGACATGAATTAAATGAAGATCTTGATATATCAACATAAATATATTAAGAAAATATAGTTACCATAAAGTACCCAATTTTGAATAATAGGTACATTTAAATATTTTGAAAACAGAAGTACACATTTGAGAAAAAGCGTATGAAAATTGAGGTTGTAAAGACGGTAAGTTTAATTCGAGCTCTTTTTCCAAGGCTTCGTTATATAAGATCAACTTGAATTTTTCATTGGCACTATGTACATATATTTTTTCAAGTACACAGTGTACATAATACAATACATAGACATAGATGAATCTCACGAATATTTTTAAACGTTCTATACGATATATACAAATACTTGTTTTTAATTTACACAAGAGAAGTGTTTGTTCAAGCAAGAACGTGACCATCCGTGATCGTCTTTCTTGGAGTTATATTCTCTTTCACGGTACAACGAAACTAGAGGTTCATAAATATTCTTAACAGACATACATCAGATATTGCTTTTTACAGATCGACGCATTAGACGTTTTTCAATTAATATCATTGTTTATTTGGCATTTCCTTGGGCGGCAACCGCGGCCATCGCGGCCTTAACGGCCTCTTCGTCGCCCAAGAACTTCATAGAGACGACGGGCTTGAAATTCTCGTCCAGTTCGTACACAAACGGGATACCGGTCGGCAGGTTCAGCCCCATAATTTGCTCATTACTCATTTCTACACACAAAAAAAGAAAGAATTATATTCCATAGATTGTTAAACGTTAAATTACAATCGAAATGAATCGACTGATCAAGCAAAGCGCCTTACGATCCAGGTGTTTCACTATGCCGCGTAAACTGTTTCCATGGGCGGCTATAATGATCCTCTTGCCCTCCTTCAATTGCGGAATAATAGTGTCGTTCCAGTAAGGTAACGTCCTCTCGATGGTCAACTTGAGGGACTCGAACTTGGGGAACTCCTCGGGCTTCGGCCCGTTGGCGTAACGCGGATCATTCACTATTGTGTCGTAGTACTTGTGATCGGATTCCATCGGCGGCGGCGGCACGTCGAACGATCTCCGCCAGATCTGCACCTGCTCCTCGCCGTACTTCGCAGCGGTTTCCGCCTTGTTCATGCCGGTGAGACCGCCGTAGTGTCGCTCGTTCAAACGCCACGTCTTCTGAACGGGTAGATTATCCTGGTCGATCTCCTTCAAGATGGATTTGAGCGTCTCCTGAGCCCTTGTGAGTACCGACGTGTGAGCCACATCGAATGTATAGCCTGCCTCCTTGAGAGCCTTCCCCGCGGATACAGCCTCGTTTTGGCCTGCAAAAAGGATTTCCGATGTACAATCTTGAAATTTCAATTTTCAGGATGGATACTCAAATTTTGTAAAAGAATTCCCTGAAAATTCCCGGATTTTTTCAGGAATTTTATTCAAAATTCCAGATAAGATTAGAGAATTTCTCAATACAGCTTTAAAATAAATTAGGCACTAAGAGTTTCTAATAACGTATAGAACTTGACGCGTGAAACAATTTAATCTTCTCTATGTACAATAGTTACATTTCCATACAAAATTTTTCGAACGTAACAAAAGATTTTGTATGGAGATGTAACTACATATGTGAAGATTAAATTGTTTCACGCACCAAGTTCTGCATTATCAGACTCTTAATGCTTGATTTATTATTTCCAAATTATCGACTCTTTAGATTGAAGTATCTTTATATAGTATATGTCAATTTTAAAATAAATTAACTTTCAATATCAGGAGCCTTTGATATGGGGCCACGTTTACTTTCTAAAGGGATAAAATTAAATTTAAAAATTCAAAAAATTTCCCTACCAGTAAAATTCCATAAGAATCCGTATGATTTTTAAGGGCAAAAATGAAATTCTCTGAGAATTCCAGGTTTTCCCAGTTTTTCCCAGTAGTACCCACTCTGATTTTTAGTCCTTTACAGTCCTATGTCAGATTGGACTTGGCATACTTTGTATATAATCTATCATATTCTTTGCAATAATCCATCACAGTTCTTCAAGCATTCAAATTATAATATGTAATTACAATTGGCAAACTGCATACATTCTTGGGATCTCTATAAATTCATTCAATAAAAATTTTTGTATTTATGTTAGACTCGTCGATTAGATTCATACTAAACATTGAGTTTTTATACACAAGTATACACAAATGCACATAGCACAAATTTGTCAAAGTTAAACTAGGGTAACTGTTTATTAGTGTGCCCTGTATCTATTAGTGTGCTTTTATATTTAATTAAGTCATAAAAATAAACTGGTACAAATATATAGACAAAGTATTTTTTTTATGAAGTTAATACTTTAATAAAAAAAAATACTTTGTCTATATATTTGTACCAGTTTATTTTTATGACTTATTTAAAGCACACTAACAGGGACAGTTAGCCTATCTGCCATGAATAAACGAATGAATGATTTTTATCATATCATATCAAATTACATTTTAACGTGATTTAAGCAAATGTACGACCACAATACGTCAACAATGTCATTCAGAAGAGATACTCGACGCGGCCTCGAGAGACTGATCGCATGCGATCGTGCGACCTTTCGCCCTTGAAAACGGCGGATTCAACCGGTCGTAGCCGGGCAACATTTACGCACCCTTGTCCGACAGATTGGCGTCGTACCATCCGCAGAAGAGGTTCAACTTATTCCACTCGCTCTCGCCGTGGCGAACCATAACGATCCTGTATTTCGACATCTTTTCCGAGAGATCACAAAGTACGAAATGAGGGATGGCCAAGCAATAAACGTACAACGCCGAGCGCGCACTAGTCGATGTGGTTCGATATTTGCTTGCGCTTAGCCAGAGAGGATCCTGAGAGCGGCCATGCCCGCGATTTAGCTGGGACAGGCGATTGAGCTGGTTTCAGCGCCTCTATGTCCACAAAACGTGGACATTGAACTACGTAGCCAATGTCCACGATTTTGTCGGTTATGTCCACGATCTTTTGGTGGTGATCCGTGCTATGTCCACGGTTGTGTTCCGTGCTATGTGCAGGAATA